AAATGATTTCTAAACATAAAAGAGTTGAATGATTGATATTTATAATTGTACTGATCACAAACGATTTACTAATTAGTACATACTATTAGTGATGCTTATTGAAATAACTCTATTTTAAATCATATATAGTATAATATTTTCACTGATTTAAAAAGAAAAGGTTATTTAGTACGTGAATTTTTTTGTAATAATTTATTAGGATATGAATTTGTGAGGTGCTATCAAATTTTTTAAAAGAGATTATTTTTAAGGTTAAAAAAAGAGTTAATTATATTTTTGGTTTACCAACTTATCAATTTTTTTTCTAATCAAGTGTGTACTCTTTAATCTTTGTTATTTGAGTAGATCAAGTTGTAATTTTTTTTCTAATCAAGTGTTCATGTTAACTTTTGTTAATTTTATGCCGCCTTAACCGTTAATTGCACATATGACACCGACATGAGGCCCTTCTATGAGTTTTTTCCTTTTTCTTTTTTTAACAAATTTATCAATTTTTTTTTTATTTAAGTGTGTAAAAAATTTGATCTTTGCTATTTAAGTGTACTAACTTGTAATTTTTTATGTTTAGTGGTTTCGTTAAATCAAGATTGATGTGTTTGTTAACTACACATGTGAAACCATGATATAAGCCCCTTTATCAAATGTTCGTGCCCAAAAAATAATTACTACAAAAAAAGAAAAAAAAAGAATGGATCAATAAATAAATATATAAAAATAAATAAGAAACTTTTCTAATCAATCCATTTTATCCAACCTAAATTTAGACTATTCTTCACTCTAAATTAAAACTCAATTTCATATCATTATCTTACAAAAAACCACAATTGTTAGCTTTTCTTTTGAGAACGAGAATGAATCATTGTTTTGGTGAATGAACTCAAATAAGCTTTTATGCTTTAATTTTCAATCATTTTCTTCCATTTGAATGTATTTAAGTAATTTGTTTTTTAAAAATTATTTTTTATGAAAAAGTCATAAATATCTTATTGTTATTATATAATTTATATGTTTTTATTGTTGCTATCGGAGAATGAAAATGAATCGTTCTTTTAAATTTTTTTCTAATTATAATGTGCCTTGACAATAAATCAACATAATGATTTTATTTCTACAATTAACATATATGTCAATCTAGAGTTAACAAAATCATTCAATTAGAAAAAATTTACAAGTTGGTATACTCAAATAGAATAGAAAAAAATGACAAGTTTATACAAAAAAAAAATTAACAATGGGGCCCATATATTTGTACCACATGCATAGTTAACGACCACATTAGTATATAATTAATGAAAAATAATTGATTAAAAAAATTACAATTTGATCTATTCAAATAATAAAAATTAAAAAACGCATACTTAATCAGAAAAAATTAAAAAGTTGATAAATTAAAAATATAATTAACTCGTTAAAAAAAATCCAGGTCAGGTCGAGTACTGAACGGGGGAAAAGGACCTTTCGTCCGACCCTATCCAATCAGCTGCAAGTGATGATTATAGGTGTACCAATAAGAGTATGAGTATATGAAAAACCTGCCTCAATTTGACTCATTGTCATCCCTAAGGTAGATTTTGGTTTTTGGTATCGGGATAGAATGGCTACACCGTGGTCAGAAATGTGTTTGGTTGTGGAGACGAGACAAAAACATTTTCCACAAAATTATCGTTTTAAATAAATTATAATTCCAACTTCTACCGTTATTTTCAGATCTCATAAGAGCTTGCACAATCGTATTAAAAATATAAAAACAAAAAATAACATAAAAAGAGAAATTATTAAGAATAGAGCTAAAAAGAAGGGAAATTATCAAGAATAGAGCTAAAAAGAATAAAAGGGAGAGAGAAAAAATTTTGAACGGATATATTATGGCCTTTAAACCGATCAATACCATCATCATATGAGAGCTCTCGTTGTAAGGAATACATATAAATCAAAATTATACATTTTAATCATATAATTTGAGAGATATGTGGATTTAAAAATTTAGATCTAAAACTAATTTTTGTGTTAGTTTAGTGATTAAAAGTGTGTTTAGGAGGTTGATGAGAATGTTTTGATACATTAAAAAAAAAAAATCCTAAAATATGACTATTACAAAAGACTCCAAAAAGAGGTGAGGGGTTTGTTTATCCCCTCACAAATCGTTTTTCAAGCATTATGACATTTTTGTGATTTTTTACCTATTTTTGAACATTTATATTCAAAGTTTATATAAAAGAGGTGGGGGTTTGAATAATGAAAATAACTGTTCATCTCTTCACAAATAGCTATTCATGCATTATGGTATTTTTGTGATTTTCAACTGTTTTTGAACATTTATATTCAGAGTTTATATAAATTTTCATTTTGATCCTTCAAGTTTTAAAATAAAAATATAGTCCTTGAACTGTTTGGCCTCTTGGCCTGCTGCATTTGGACTGCAGTAGGACCAAGGCAGGCAGGCAAGCTTGCCAACTCCATTTTTTTTTTCCTTTGTTTTTTTTTTTTTCTCATAAATTTATGTTTTTTTATTATTGAATTAGATGTGAAAATTATGAAAAATGTTATTTTTATTCCTTTTTTTCCACCAATATATATATATTTTTTAGTTATTGACTTAGGCTTGAAGATTATGAAAAACAAATTATTATTTTTTTCACACAAGTTGAAGGTTACAAAAAATATATGATATGTTTTTAAATTTTAGAATAAGTATATATATCGAATTATATTACTTTTACTGTTTAAAATTGATCTCTTTAATTAGTTGTTTCTTATAAAAATTCTCATTAGATTAATTTTTTATTTTTTTAAGTAATTTAATTTTTTTAAAAATTTATGATTTATTTTCTCTTGTGTATGGATTTTTGAAATAATTTTTTTTAGTTGTTTTTATTTTTTTATTTTTTTATATAATTGAATTTTAAAAATAGAATTCACATGGTTTATTTACTTATTATTTATATAATCAAATTTTGTCGAAATCAATTTTGTTTTTTTATTACATCCTACTAACTTCAATATATTTTTTATAACTTTTTTTTTTAAAAAAAAATCAATTTATGCTGAACACTCTAACCTAATAAGTACGAGTCATGATGTATAAAATATATATGCATCTACACTCATAATACCAACAAATGCTATTATTTTTATATTTTAAAATTATTTTTTTAAATAAAATAATTGAAATAAGTTTTTAGAAGAACCACCTAATAATTAAAATACAATTTTTATACTAATATTATTATATAATTCTATTTTTATTCTCTTTCTTTTTTTCCACCCATTTATTTATTTATTTTTTAGTTATTGAATTGGGTGTGAAGATTATGAAAAATAAATTTTTTTTCACACAACCAATACTAATATTATTCATTATTATTATTATTATTATCATTATATATATATATATATATCAAATGTACATACTTTAAAAAAAAAAGTTCTTCTCATTAGTATTAAACAAGAATGAATAAAAAAGTTTTTTGCTAATTTTTATTCGAGTTTTTATGTTACTTTATTTATTCGATACGATGTTATAAAAAAATATTAAAAAAATAAAATACATTCTCTTAATTTTATTGTTAGATTATTATGGATTTTTTCAAGAACAAATGCATAAAAAATAAATCGTGTTTTTTTAACTACAAAAATTATTAAAAAGTAAATAAAAAAGAGATGCAAATTTTTAATTAAAAATTATAAAATTAGATGAAATTTTATCTTTAATTTTATATATTTTTATGATCGATAATATAATAAATACTATCAAATTAAAATAAATATGTTTAACTCGATCTGTAGGATAGGATACTGTAGCGTAGGAAGCCAACTAGAATCATGTAAATACGAAGAGTCTCTCAAAAAGTAAGTGAAAGTCGCTAGAGAATTACTGTAAGATGATGTGTCATCTATATGAACGATGTGTCGTTCATGTCTTCTAAGCTTAAGTCTGAGCTGTGTCCTAAACCAAACGCGTTTTGGCTAATTTCCAAGCCAACTGTGCTTGGTATTTGTATCAAATCCATGTCTTGTTTTTTTTTTTTTTTAGATTTTTTCTACGTATATACTATTTACTTTTTGAATTATTTTGATTGATATTTTTTTATTTTTTTCAATTTGATTAAAATCTTTTATTTTTCATGTTATTTTGCTTGAGACTTTTGATTATGAAATTATTTATTTTTAATTGAAAGTGACATGTTACTTTTAAACTCTATTTATAAATAATTGTCATATAGTATTGTGAGTTTCATGAAACAATAAAATTATCTATATTAAAAAAATAATTAAACAAAGAATTAATAATTTTAAAGGTATAAAATAACACAAAAAAATAAAAAGATGAAGATGAAAAGAATAATACCCCCACCACGATTATGTCCAACCCTTTGAATCCATGGTTCTCTCTTCATCTTTCTCTTCTCTCTAACTTTCTTTCTCAAATACCCCTAAATTATTTAGTCTCATAACCATATTATTTTACTTTATTTCAAAAATTATTTTCAAAAATATATTTTATATTTTTATTCATTTTTTTCTATTTCTTAAAATAAAAAATCAAAATAAATTAAAAATAAAAAAATTAAGTTATAAAAAAAAATTTAAAATATACATACTAAATAATTATTTTTTTTGAATAATAGAGATTAATTAATTGGTTTCTAAAAACTATGAGGACTAATTAATAACTTACTCCCCTTTATTATTGTTATTAGTAAAACTTAAAAACAAAAAGGATTTTAAGTATGTCGAGATCTTCTTTTATTTAATTTTTTTTATTGGGATTTTAATTTTTTTTATTATTCAATTTAAAATTTTTATTTTTTTATTATTATTGTTTTATATTTTAATGACACATATAATAAAACTAACTAATGACAATTTATCATAAAACAATTTGGATTCATCATCACAAGTGTCAAATACAGCAAAGCAAAGAACAAGAACGATGGAGAGAGAGACAAACGATGGCTATTCTTGTCATTTCAGGAGTTTTCAAAGACCTACTCTTTGTGTCAAACAATGGCGGACCCAGTACAAATATGATCAGATATTTCGTTGCAGCACCCGCACCTCTGACGTTTTTCCTCATCAAGATCGTTAACAACAAACTCCCTGCCCACCGTATACGTGTTCGGCCAGGATCTACCCGCACGTGCATAACGTCCCTCTCCAGCACTAACGTCATCAAAAACAAAAAACGACAAAAACCCAAAACGGTTTTCATAAAGAAACAAAAGCATGCACGAGCACAGTCAGATACTACAAAAAGCTAAAACATATAATTAATTAAATAAAAAGTAAAAAGGCCGTAGTGTACAGTTACAACTTTAATAATAATAATAGTAATAATGACGACAAAAGATTTCAAAAGCAAAAATAAAAAAAATAGAAAAGTGATTCTTTCTTTCCTTACGTTACGATGTCATTAAAGAAAGCAAAAGAGGCGAGAGAGAGAATGGTTGAAACAGAAAACCTGAAACCTGAAACTTTCACGCGTGTGCTTTGATTACCCTTCGTAACGTACTTTAACCATTCTTTCCTCTCTTTCACATAACCATAAATTACTCTCTCTCTCTCTCTCTCTTTCAAAATCTTGCTGCTTCGTACCCAACTTTCATCTACTTTAACACGTTACCCTTTTTTCTGTTTTAATTTATTTGTAAATTGGTGATCGCGATTTAAGCACTTTTCATATATTAATGCATTCTAATTAATAGGCTAAAATTGACCCTAAAAATCAATATCTCGAGGCTATAGCAATATTTTTGGAATGAAAATCCCTTTTCAAGAAAACAAGGAAGATACATTAATCAAAATACCAAGACACAAATGTCTCGCGCTCATGCATAAAACCAAATTTTTTTTTTGGATATATTATAATCAATGCTTAAATTTCAATCAGCTCTAAAAAGATATAGATAATTTATAATCTTTATTTTGGATTATTTATGAGAGAATGTAATTAATTTATTAAATATAATTTTAGGGTTTTATAAAAATAAAAATTCTCTCACTGTCATAAGTAATACGAATTCTCCAACTCAATACATAGCAATTAAATATGCTTCCATGTGTGCATACCATTAACTGTTTAGTAAAAAAAAAAAAAAAAATTATCGTGATTAAAATATATATAAGAGTTTTTGAAGGATCTCACGTCGGAGAACATGAAATTTTTGTTTGTTTTATAATGATGATATATAAAATGCAGTTTGCAAATGTTCTTATAACTCGAGGAAGGAATTTTAATGTGTGTTCATAAAGGGATTTATTTGTGAAGCCAAAAAAAGGTTTAGGGAATAAATTATCAAGATTTTGAAAGTTTAGAACTGATTTTTCAGCCATTATGTAGAGAGATTTGTAGTTATTTTCGCCTTGTTATGTTGCTGATGGAATTGTGATTCTGAGTGGGGTGGTGTTTCTGCTTTTGGAGTCTGTTACTGAGATTCGAGGCAATGAAGCCAAGATCTTTTCTTTCAGTAATTTTCTGATATGATGTGATGCGACTTTTTCTTTGTGGGCATGGAAATTTTCTTTTTACAGCTTCTTAATTTGGATGCAGAAATTGTAATGATGAGTTCAGAGTAGGCCTTTTTTAAGCCTTATTAATTATTCTTCCAGATAAATTATGACATGTAGACCCAACAAACAAATAGAAATAAAGAAGAATTTGTTATCTTTCTTTATTATTATTATTATTTTTATTAAGAACTAATTCTTGGAATAAAGATAATTTTTATTAAAAACTCTTAAGAAACCTATAAAATCCTTTTCAAAGGTAACCACCTGGCTGTATAAATTCTCTTTGCGGTAGCAAATTAATTTTATAAAAATTATCTGATATAGCTAGTTTTTATTCTTTAGTGATCTTTACCCAAAAATGCAAAAATCATTTATGATAAGTAAGTATATCTAGAAACCCACACCACATGACTTATAATGTGAATTCTACATCTACAGATATATTATCCATTATAGATCAAAACTTATATATCTTTCTTTCATAAAATGGTGAAATCTATAAATAATTTTTGTAATAAATCTTATGTTTTGATCAGAAGACCCAATACAACTCCTAATATATTTGATAATTTCTCTTAAAAATGAGGTGCATTTTAGATTTTTGTTCTTATTAAAATGTTGTAAATTCACCTTGTAGCATTTGATAAATTACATTGTCATGTTGAGTTTATTTGAGTTATACTATCAAAACATCAAAAATTGAAGAAGGTCCTCTCCGATTTTTCTCTTCACCTTTTTCTTGTTTGTGTGTGTGTATATATATATATATATATAATACCTAGCTCACTTGCAGTTGTATTATATTAATTAAATTTTCATTCTTATTTTTTAATAATTAATCATAGTTACAACTACAACTATAATTACAGATATAATCAATTTTTTTTAATCGAACGCATATGTTTTTTTTTATAGATTTTTTAACATGTTCATAAGAGAACATCTTATTAATACAAGTATATGAAAAATTTTAATTTTCATAATTAATTGTATTAAATTATGGATAGAGCTAAATTCACCAACCAAATTTTTATTTTCATTATTTTTTTAAACAATTAATAATATATCTTTTATCAATTACCAATAACTATTATATAACAAATATTAATGGATGATGTATTAGTAATTGTCTAAAAAAATTAATTAGAATAACAATTTAGTTGATTAATTTAGTAGTATCCTTAAATTATAGGTTAGATTTTATTTTATTTTTTTACAAAAAAAAAAGGTTTGAATTCGAGACTTCCCAGAAAAAAAATACTAATATTAGTTCAGCTACAACTCTTTGAAAATAAAATATTTTATCTCTTAATTTATTGATAGAAAATAGTTGCGCAATTATAGACTAGTTATAAAATAAAATATTTGGCATGGTTACAAAAGTAGTTGTACTAGTAATATACAAAATGTACTTGCGAAGAGAAGAGTACTCTCCCTTGTTAGCGTTGTTTCCCCAAAACCAATCTTGACGTGAGAACTTGGTCAAAGCTGACATGGCGAAAAATCCTACGTATAAAGGTATAAGGACATCGATTATAAACAGTATCCTAATGTACGTAATAATAAATTTGTACTTTTTTTATTTTTATTTTTCTTTTGGTCATCAAGTTGTGAATAGAGTGATGGGGTTGATGAGGTTTGCCAGATAAAGAATAAGTGAGATATGCGTGTGAAGGAAGAGGATGGGTGGATGATGAAGATAGGTGATTGATGATAGGTAGTAACAGGAGGAAAAGAATAAAATTGGGAGCAGAGGGTGAAGAGCAAGCATGAATTATTGAGGAAACAAATGCTTTTGCTGTCTCCCACAAGACCTGCAATAATCTCTTCAACACCCTAACAAGCAATGCTCATCATTGTCTTTCTTTTCTACACAACCAAAAAACTCACGCACTTACGTTACCTCTTATCTTATTATATATCATCTGCCTATTTCATATTTGTCGTTCTCTTTATTCTCTCTCCCCCTCCCCCCCCCCCCCCCCCCCCCCCTCTCTCTCTCTCCCTATTCCACTTTTTTAAAGAATGGCATTAGCTTTTTGTTTCTGAATTACCAATGTATATGTTTGCTATTTGAAAATCAAAAAGAAAAAGTTTTACGGGAAGAAATTAAAGCATCCCGGATCAATTTGCTTTATAAAAAGCTTAAAAAACATTGCCTTTTCTCCCTCTCAAAAGTGCCTTGCTTTTCCTAATTACAGAATAACATGCCTTTGTTTATATCGTAATTTCCGTACAGCATCAGGCTCTGTTTATAGCCAAACAGGTACCACACCGGGAATTAAGGGCATCCTTTGCAAATATATGTAGCAATGTAACATCATCACATGTGTATTTACACACACACAAATATATATATAACAACATTCTTTTGTTCGTAGTTTCTCTCTAAGGTTTTGAGAGTTTTAAGGTTTTTTTTTGGCAACGGTAACATTTTGTTTTTCTTCTTTCAATCCTTTTTTTTTTTAAAAAAAAAATATATAATCCTAAATTGAGGTCTTATGCATTTAACTCTGATAGTTTTTGTTTCATAATATCTACTAAAAAGGAATTCTTTCTCTAAATTAAATTTTTTACTAGTGTTAGATTCTAGGAATGCAATGTGTTTTAATCATGGTTTGGGGTTTGCTTAATAAATATAATTGAGGAATATAATAAATCAAAATAATAGCACAAGGTCATACTAAATCAAATCAGTATAGTACAAGGATAATTTGGTACTTTAACTCTTGTATAAATTTTGTTAGTTATTTAGCAAAATGTAAATAAAAAAAAATAGTCTAATTTAATTTTATTTTCCCCTAAAATAGAGATATTATGGCCATTTTCTTATATTTTGATATTGCAGACTATCAATTGATTATTTTTTGTTAATTAGATGGAGGATGTACAATTTAATCATATTTAAAATTAAAAAAAAAAAAGCAAACTGTAACGTTTCCAAAGCAGGATAAAATATATAAATTTAATTTAAAATCCAATATGATTTTGGGTAAAATAATTAGTTAATCTTTCGAGTAAAAATCCTAATATCGCATCCCTTTTTTTTTTATTTTTTAAATTCTGTTTGTAATTTAGGATCCACGTTAAATGTCCATTAATAAGGTACTGTTGAGTTGTCATCAATACAATTGACTATATATTAATTGACAGAAACTCTCATGAATTATGCACATAGTTTACAACTAATTGCATAGCTACAAAAATAATTTTATTGTATTTTGGTTGATTTCAAATCTAGATTTAGAAGTCTTTTTCAATGGCAGTTTAATAAAATATCTGTCTTTGAAAAAAGAAAAGAGAAAAAGAAATAAAAAAGAGAGAGAAAATAAATTGACTTTTATTTATCTTTATAAATGTAAACATGTATTTATCTTTAATTTTGTTACATGTGTTCCAAAGGATTAGCAATTCTTTCATCAATTTTGTAGGATTCAAAATTTCGTGGGTCCTTGAGGGTGGGAAGATGGCACCTATTACATGGATGGATGATAATTGGTCATTCGCCATGTGCCAAATTTGTGGCTTTTCTGACATTATGTGGGCTGTGGTTGTAAGAAAAAAAAAAAAAATTAAATAACTCGCCAAAGAAAATTGAAAGACAATAAAGTGAGACAATCATTTCATTTTCAACAGTCAAAAAGATTCAAGAGGAAGAATAGAATAATTACTCATCTTTTTGTAGGTTTAGATAACAGAACATTATCAAACAATAAAGTATAAAAAGGATCAAAAGTAACATAAAAATCAATCAAAAGTTGGTAAAGATAGGAGATTAGACTGACTCACCACTTACAAGAAACTTAAAATAATATATTTAATTCCATAGATCGAGTTAGAATACTATTTGATTGTTGAAAACCAGTCAAGCACTTGGTTTTTTAATTAGAAATCCAGACTTCAGATTTTCAATTTTTTCATGCACCCATCAATTTTACATCTTATTATTATTATTTTTTAAATCTTTAGAGCGCTTTCAATTTTTTTTTTAATTTTTTTCGTGACTATATGGGTGGTAATTTAGAAAGATTTTTGAAATGAGAAATTACTTGTCAAATTTACAAGAAAGAAAGAAAAAGAGAAATTATATGGCAAAATAAATAACTCTAGAGTTTTCAATATCATATTGTTTTTTATTTACCTATTTTTTTGTTTGGATCGATAATTAAAAGTATTCTTGAATTAACTAACAAGAAAAAGAAAAAAATATAAAAAATAAATTCTCTTTAATACTGTTCAATATAATTTGAACTTAAAAAATAAAAAAATAAATTGTCCACAATATATTCACAATTAATAGAAAAAGATGCTTTATTTTTTTGAAGAGATACACTAAGTTTATAATAAAATTTAACTAGTATTAATCTATTATTATTATTAACTTTTTTATTTTATTTCTAAGATATTTTAAGTTAAAATTTTTAAACTAATCCTTCTATTCTGTCGAATTTATAAACCAAACAAAATTATGCAAAATGTTATATATATATATATATAAATTTGAATTTAAAATTAATTGATTAAGTTTGTTGCGTTATTAATGCCCTTTTGTTTTTTTTTTAATTGTCGGGTTGAAAACGTTCATGCAGCTCTATTCATTTATAACGATTGCTACCTGGGTTTTTATGCCATGTACAATAGTCTAAGACCTTAATCACATCAAACTTTTGTTATGTTTGATAATGATAAGACCTCGAGTCATCTCACCAAATGACCAAATGCATGAGAGAGAGAGAGAGAGAGTCGAGAAGCAGGAGGAGGAGGTGAAGGCATCATTCTTAATCAATCAAGGCAGTAATGCTTGACTTTAAACATTGCCAATCAATAAAAAAGGATCTAACAACCTCAACATGGTCATCCAGATCCTTTCTTAATTCTTAATTAGAGAAACGATAGATTATGATATCTTTTCCCCAGTAATTCATTTTCAGATAAGAATGTTAAATAACGTAAACATTTAATTAAATTAGCCAGCACTTATGAGATAGTTGCATTGCAATGACGTAGGAAAATTCTTTTCTTTTTTAGGAGCAAACTCGTTTTAATAGTAAGAATATATCTAGAACAGCTTTTTACAAATTGATATTAAATCTTTTATCAATATGGATTTAGGTGGATTGTTTCACTCCTAAATCGATACATTTACAAATTTTACAATCTTTTATCAGATTTGAGAAGTGGATGATAACACTGGGAGCAAAAGCACTTGGCACTGAAGCTAAAGATCTCTATCAGCTAAAGTAAGCAAGTTGAAAGCGAAATAGATATAAGAATATGAAATAGAGAAGAATCAAATAACATAACAACCATGAAACAATAAAGTAATGGAGAAAATTGTAGGGGCAACAGAAATCATAATGGGGCACCAACTAAAAAAGAGCCAAGCAAGGATGCATTGAAGACAGATGGTGGAGGTGATGTAAAGGACTTGGGTCCTTTTATTTCCGTTTTGATTTGAAAAAAGCAAAAGCCTTTCAGTAAAAGACAAACAGATTCTGGTTTTCTCCAAACCCCAAGAAAGACCAAGGGAAGAAAGAGAGAAAACAAAGCCAAACACCAATACCAACGCCAAAAAGCATATGTTTTAGAGGGACGCACCCACCCACCCACACGAGTGGTTCTCGAGTTGCATGCAATGCAACACCCCCCAACAATACAGAGATAGAGAGAGATAGAAATAGGGAAAGACATAGAGACTGTTTTCTCTCTTTCTTTCTTTCTCTATTGTTGGTGTTGTGTTGTGTTGTACATTCACTATAGAGAGATCAGTCTCAAAATAAGGACCCTCCTCACCTCATTTTTCTCTCTCTCCTTCGATCGCTCGACTCTACCTGTATAAATAAACAAATAAGTAAAATAATAAACACACACATATCTATATATATATATATATATATTGAGAGTGAGGAAGAGAGAGTGAGAATCGTGTGGGTTCTTCTTTTCTTTTTGGTAATGGTTATTGGTGTCTTAATTTCCTTTTTCTCTTTCAACAGTGAAACCCCAATCCGTTTCCTGTTCGCTTTTCTTATAAATTAACTTCCTCTGTTTCCTCTGATTCTTCTCTGACTCAAAATAGAAAAAAACTTGATGATTTCTTATCTCTCTTGCCAAAAACAAAACCCTTTGAAATGGCCAAGCGGGAGAGTAGCTAGCTAACATGGAAATGCAACTCAGTTTCTTTTGCCTTTGATCACTCTTCTTCTCTGATCTCTCTCGCACTTGCCATAATCAAACAGAGGGGAAAACACAAAGAAGACTTTTCTCCTTACTACAACTTCAAAATCTGACCTTTATTATTCTTCTTTCTGAGGCATTGTAGAAAAGGTACCCATTTTGGGTTTTTAAGGTTCTTTTAACTTTGATTTTCCTCTCTAGGTTTATCTGGTTTAGTTTTGGTCAAAATGAGTCTACAACACCTAATGAGTGACAAGCATGTTTTCAACGGGTATCAAGACATGAACTTTTTGCCTCCACCACCTCCTCCTCCTGCTTCTCAACTTTCTCTGTCTCATGCATTTGGTGTTATGGGTCAGCCAATAGAGATAGAAACTAGCAATCCTCAAATGGGGTTTCATATTTTGAGCCATTCAATGGACCAAGACAGGAAATCATGGAGCAATCAACAGTTGGAAAGCTGCGGAGCTAAGAGACCTGGTGATGTGAGTGATAGGAATTTTGGGGTTCATAAAAACAGCTTGTCTTTGAATTTGTGTGCGGAAGAGGAGCCTAAAACCTCTGGTCTTGGTCGAAATGGGCACACCAAGCTTTGCGCTAGAGGCCATTGGAGACCAGCTGAAGATGCTAAACTCAAAGAGCTTGTGGCTCAACATGGTCCTCAAAACTGGAACTTGATTGCAGAGAATCTTGAAGGAAGATCAGGTAAACCCCTATAAGTTCTGTCGTGGATATTTTATAAGGTTTGTTTAGCGAAAAATGTGCTAAAAGTTGTTTACTTGTTTGTTGATTACCATTATTAAAGATAAAAAGGGCCTGCTTATCCTTTTTCCTTGATTGACTATTTTTAATAAGCTCAATTATGACTTTGATCCACTTGGTTAGATGGAACTTGTTGTTTTCTCCATTTTGAAACAAAAAATCTGTTAGTAAATTCTTTTTCCTCTATATTTTGAATTTCAGGTAAGAGTTGTCGATTAAGGTGGTTCAACCAGCTAGATCCAAGAATTAACAGGAGGGCATTTGCTGAAGAGGAAGAGGAGAGACTCTTAACTGCTCATAGAGTATATGGCAACAAATGGGCTATGATTGCTAGGCTATTTCCTGGTAGGACTGATAATGCAGTTAAGAATCACTGGCATGTGATCATGGCTAGGAAACATAGAGAAAATTCCAGCATTTACAGGAGGAGAAAGCCCTCTTCTTCCTCTCAAATCCTCCCTAAAGGATCAGTAGATGTCACTTTGCAAAACAATGCTTGCAGTGAATCAACAACTATCTCTAGCACCATTGATGAATCTGGCTCAACATGCACTGATCTCTCCCTTACTCCCTCTTCAACCAAAGTGCCTCCTAGACTTTTCACCAGGTTCAGTCCTCAAAGTGCCCGAAGGGGTATGTGCTTATTTTTCCCTCTCTCTCTGTAAAACATTCTTTTTTTTTAAAAAAAATAGAGTAGAGTTTTTTTTTTTTTTTTATTTCTTTCCTTTAATGGGTTCTTAGTTATTTAATCTGGTCTTGTTTAAATTAATGATATCTTCTATGGTTTTCTGGGTTTGCAGGTTCTTCTGCCGATAAGGAAGTGACAATGAGAAACGCAGATTTTGACAAGTTCTATGGCAGTGACAATGTGTTTTATCAAAATGAGCCTATGAGGGTGGTTACGGGTGTGGACCAATTTGGTCAGTCAGATTCAAACTCAGAAGATTCTGCAACGGAGTCAGTTGGCACCAACAGGGCCAATCCCTCTCTCTCTGGCTACAATGAAAATAGGAACGTGAAAATCAGCATCCCCTTCATAGACTTTCTTGGAGTAGGAGCTACCTAAGATAAGTTGGGTTTTTGGTAAAATTATAGAAAGAGAAGAAAAAGCTGGTAACAAAGAGAAGCAAAGTGGGTCTCAGGTGTCATTGACAATGTTTAAAGAACAGTAAAAGTTCCTAAACCAGAAAAAGAAAACAACAATGAGGTGGTACAAAGAATAGGAGACGAAGAGTAGCTAAGTGTTGCAAAAACAATAATACTATATATTAAAAAAAAAAAAAACTTGTTGTTTTGGAGTTATCTAGCAAAGGCAGCCGAAGTAGGGGCAAAGATATTCCCACTGTGTAGAAATATGGCGAAATCTTGTACGTCCATGATGAGTGAGTGAAAGAGAGAAGAGAGAGAGAGAGAGGGCAAAGCCAAAGTTGGTTGTTTTTCTTCTGACGACTGGGCTCATCATGAATGAACCTGCCCATCTCTCATGACTTTTCAATACTGTGCGTGTCATTGTTGTTTGGTATGCTTTTGTTGACCATGTTTTTCACGCACTAGTGCAATCAATACCCCCCTTGGGTGATTTGTTCAGTGGTACTTTACTACTATCTATCTATCTATCTATCTATCGATGCTTTACATGGATTTGTGCCGAGAACAATCCCACCTAATCCTTTAATTACCTCTTCGTGGCTTAGCCACAATGCTTGCATCGAAAGGGGTCTACGAATCTTGGATGATCCTTCGTGGTTCTGTCAATGGACAAGTTCATGATTCCGAAGCTCTACTCTTTCTGCTTGGTTGCAACTTGTATGTGACCGACATATAAAAAATAATCATGAAATATTTTTTTGCACATAGTTAAATTATTTACTATATTGATTCAACAATGGACCATGGTTTATATCCCGTTTTCTTTACAAAAAAGAAAAAGGAAAATATAAAGATCGGAGAGGTTATCATAGCTGTGTTCTCCTAATTCAAGCATCGTGCCATTCAGGTTTTGATTCACTGGCATCCAAATCAATTGATGACTCAAATTGAAGTTTATGATCGATATAAAGAGCCATTCAAGTTTGTTCATTAGCTTTCTATAACGTTAACGAAAATTTACACAATTTTTGTTGTAACACTCTTTGTATTTCAATAAAAAAAGATAAGTATGGATTTGATAGTTGAAATTTTTAGTTTCGGTTAATGGCTCAATCTTTATTCGTATTGTATAATAATTTAATTCACCGACATGTTTCTATATTTTTAATTGAATCATTTTTTATCATTGGATATATATTAAAATTTTAATCTATCATTATGATAATATTTAAGTTAAATTATCAAAATTAATCATAATGATTTTACACTTTCTATTTATCTAGCTTGCAAAGTTATTTTAAGAATAAGAAAAAAAAATCATGTGCAAAGCATATGATTTGATCTAAATATTTTTGTCAAAAAAATATATTAAAAACTTAACCGGAATTCAAATATAAAGATGTAAAAACATATTGCAATTACTATGTAAGGATATATTTAGCTGTTGGCCCTATCTATTTACTTTCTTATTCTCTGTTTTAAAGTTTTCTTTTGAGAAAATTTGCAATTAAGTGATATTTCCCAGAGTGAAGTTTTACAAATTTATTATGACAAATGATTTTCAGTATGTGAATTTGTTTCAGCGATAATTTGAATCAGATAAACTGGAGAAGATGGTTTGGTCTGGTTTCCAATCGTAGCTAGAGAGGGTAGGCATCCAAAATTTTTCTATGACGACAAATTAAAACAATTGTGGGCTTTCAATGCAGTGGGCCTTAACTCATATCCTTTTTTTTTTTTATAGACTATAAAGGCCCTATGTTGGATTGTTGTGCCTACTGTCTTGTTTTTGTCAGTAAATTATAAATGAGCTCTTCTAGTTTTGGAAAACTAATTAATTAATTTTTTATTTAAAACATTATTATTTATTTTTTATATTTTTAATTTTTTTTGTAACTTCATCTTTTTTTTTAATTTATTTTGATAAATAGAAAAAAGAATGAAACAAGTAAAAAAAAAAAAAAGAGAGAGAATTAACGAGAAAAGATGATGTTTTTAAGAATAACATAATATTAATATTGATAAAAAAATTAAATAATTAATTTTTAAAATAAAAAATTTATTTATTTATTTATTTCTTGAAAATAAAGAGACTGATTTATAATTTACTCGTTTTGTGTTGTGCTCTGAAAAATGTGAAATTGAACTTCTTTAGATAAAGTTTAGAAAATTGTCTCTTATTTAAAAAATAAAATAAAATCTACAATAAATTACTCACGTTTTATTAAAATAAGGAATCCCTTGGTTTTGATTAAAACAAAACAATGTTTTTTTTTTTTGGTTCTTTAGGAGAAAAATCTGAATTGACATGGAAATTTTTTCTTTTAATGAGTTTGTATTTAAATAAAGGAAATTTTAACAAAATAAAAATTTAAAACTTTTAATAAAAGAAAATTACTTTATGTAATGAAATTCTAGTGACGTTTTACATGACGGTCCGACCCTTTTATCACTGGGCTCCGATTGGGCTTCCTTGACTACAGAGAATATTTGGGCTAGACTCTGATAGACGCACGTAAATCCGATCCAAGAATTGTACAACTCGCAAAATTCTATTTTTGTTGCAAATTGATAGCCCTGAAACGCGAAAGGGGGCTTCTTGTAATTTTTCATTCTTTTTTAACCCTCAACGCGAACTTTTTAATCTAAATAACTGAGGGTTAAAAAGGTTAATAAAATGGTCAGATAAATATAAGATTTTTCCGCCAGACTTGAAAATCAATTCAAGTATAATGTCCGGCAGACTTATGATTGAGTGACAACGTCTAAGAAATAATAATAATAATAATAAAGTGAAAAGGAAAAAGAAGGGATACGATTTTGATGCACGGTTAAGTTGTAACTTTCTAACTTTTTTAACACAACGTGTACGTTTTTCTTTTCTTTCTTTCGAGATCAATTTACCTTTTCCATTTAATCTTCATGTCTCAGTGACAGTAATAATAATAATAATAAAGTGAAAAGGAAAAAGGACTCTCACATTTCACAAGCTCTATGCTCTAGTCCTAGATTGGGCTTAACGCAATTCTGGGCCTCAAATTTGTTGATTGCCCTTTTAGCTACTCGCATTTCAGAAGCTCTGAAACAAAGGACTCTCCAAAAGCAAAGATAGGCTTTTTCTTTTTTTGTTAATTGGACATTAAAAAAAAAAAAACTTCAGTTGATTTAAAAATCAGTTTCTGAATTTTTAATTTTATATCTGAGCTTTTTTTAAGTTCATTTTTTTAAAAAATTTTATTTTATTTTATGATTTTTTATCTATAACTCATCATCTCTAAAAAATTTAATTGTTAGCATTTTCAGCTGAAGTTTTGCACACACATTGAAAAAAATTCAATCAATTTTTTGAAAAAATCCTAGAAATTTTTAGATTGAGAAATATATATTTTTTATTTTTGAAACATTAAAATGTAAACAATAAAAAAAACTATAAAATAACTAGGAATGATGTCAATTTTTTTTAGAAAGTCTTAGATAAATCATACTAAATGACTTCCATCATAGAGATATTTATGCATTTTTATTTTTGATAAACAATTAAAGGATATATTAATTTTTTAATAGATATTTGTCATGAACATATCACAAATTCGAGCAATCGCTATTTCGTGTCCCATTACAGAATATTAATAGATATTTCATTTTTTAATTTTGTCTTTGATTTAAATTCTACCAATCGTATATGTAGAAAAAAAAAAGAAGCGTAATCCGTTCAGTTTTTGCAATCAAATGCACGGAATAAAATGCAAGAGCAAATATAAGTTACTCTTTCACACCACCTCCTTGATGATGATCAAGTATCATGCTATTATAAAAATGTTTTCATGCAAATAGAAATTTTTAAATTCATAGCTCATTGGCTAACCAGAGTTGCGTACACACTGACCAGCTGGAAAAACCCTGCTGGATTTGCGTGGAAAAGATGAACAGTTCGCACCCTTTCAAATCATGAGCTTGGTTCAATATTTTAAACACACGTTGGATTCCTCAAATGAGTTGGCTGATTTGCTTCCTATCCAGCTAGTCAAACACAATCCATAACATAGATTTTTAAGCACATTGTATTGCATATATAATTATCCTTATATGGAATTTCATTCTAGAAAGTGTGGCATTTTAGAACCAAATCTTAAAAAAAAATAAAAATCTGAAGTGAATAATTTTTCTATTGTAGTTGCCAACTATTAAACCTTTCAAAAAACTTAGATTCACATGGTATTTCTCAGAAAATGTGCCATAATGTTCTCAGAATTTAGAAAAGAGATCTCCAAACAAACATCCGTCTCCTTTTGATTGGTTATCTACTTATCTTAATCGGTATTGAAGCCGAGCTGTTTATTTATTTCATTTTTTATTTGGAAGCTTTCCAATGGGAATCCATTTACTGGCCACCTTGCAGTTTCATCAAGCCCTATGCATATTCAAGCGCATAATTAAAAATAATAATTTATATCTAAGCTAAAAGCTGACTTATTGGTGCTCACTGCTCAGCTTATTCTTAGTAATTAAGTTGATTGATTTAATAACTACGGTTACCCTCATATAAGTTCACAACCTGTAATCCAATTCTCAATTGGGTGCCTAAAGAAGCTTTTTTCTGAATTGTGTCCCCAATGTATCAAAAATCATAAATTATTTCTCCCATCCAAATCAGTTAATGTTTTTCATCTTAAGTACACAAAAATAATTCCCCAATGATTTTGTAAGGAAGGACTTAATTGAGAATTTATGATTGAATGGGGACCTAATTGCGATAATAACTTTTGGGATTAGAAACCACAACAAAGCTGGTGATCTTGAGCTTTGCTTTTACTTAAGTCTGCCCTCGTGTTTCTGGTATATGCTCCAATACTGATTAACGTTGCAACGTTTTCAACAAAAATACACCCACACGCTCACACAAAAGTTTTCAATACGCAGTTTGTGAACTATTTTAACAATATTTTTTATATTATCCCACTTTACCCATATAACACT